TATTTATGTAATTAAGTGTTTTAATGATTTGGCCGATTAATCGATTAATAGAAAAAATAATCGACAGATTAATGGATTATTAAAATAATCATTAGTTGCAGCCCTAAACTGGACTCCCAGACTTCTAATCCTGTTGTTCAGATCCACTGCTTCCAGTCTGAGCTGCAGACTGGATGTTTGTTCACTGTTTGGAGTTTGTTTGGTGGCTTTTTATCTTCTCCCAGGTTTTATGGTTTCATGGTTCATGTGTGTTGCTGGTGGTTCAATTTAAATTTATGGACAAATAAATCTAGACACTCACAGCTGGAGTGAAAGTGAGAGGTGGTCCACAAAGTGTTGACTCTGTGGGGTTGAGGGGGTATGAATACTTTCAGGTTGTGTATTTTCTCTGAGCAGACAGTGACCTGTATGATATCTGTCTTTTAGATCAGATTTGAAGGAAGTGAGAGAGAACCACTCTGTGACTTGTTTCATACAAAGGTTACTGTTAGTCAGAATGTTTGTTTGTGTGGAAAACTGATAAATAACTTTCTGTACTGCTGATGTTATTTTAACTCCTGAGTTTTTTATAAAGTGCTTCCTGTTTGTCTTTAAGGTGCCGTTCCTGTGTCCCCTGGAGGGCCACATCCACCTGAAGATGCAGTGTGAAGTGGGCTCAAAGGTGGAGGAGAGGGGCTTCCTGGTGAGCAGTGGATTCAATCATCCCATGCTTGTCTGATCACACTGCAGCTAGGACCTGTGAATAAATAAATATGTTTTAGTGAGGACCTGTTCTTGTCTCAGACCATGTTTGAAGACGTCAGTGGCTTTGGAGCGTGGCACAGAAGATGGTGTGTGCTGTCAGGATATTACCTGTCCTACTGGACCTACCCCGATGATGAAAAGAGAAAGGTAATTCTGTTACCTCCATCACACTCATATTTTATTAACAGGGTTGCACATAAAATGTTTGGTCTGGTTCTCAGGGGAGAACCTAGGGTTGTTGCTTGGTGCTCATATTTTCCTTCACTCATTTAACACATTTATGGCGTCAGGTCATCTAACGTCCCCCTGTTCTGCTTTATGACTCCTATCAGCTGCAACGTCTCAGGACATCATGTCAAATCAGTCCAACAAGTTTTTATTTTATTCTTTTACTCTGCATAAATGTTGTAAACTAGCTAAGTGTCCGAGGGGCTGGGTGTATGTCATATAAACATCACAAACTGAACATTTCATGGTTAAATGTCTTTTAGACTAACATGTCCCTCAGATGAACAGCTCCTGTAGTTTGACCTTCTGTATCTTCAGCTTCAGCCTTGGTTAAACCAACTTTCCACTCTCTCCAGTCCAACCAGTAAATATCTGTCTTTCACAC